ATTGTGAAGTGCTCACATACTACTTTTGGCCTTCATAAACATAATTGTTTTTACATAAACAAATGGAAGGAGGCACATTGTAACTCTAAACTCATTTGTGTATTTTAGATGCTGTCACATCCTACAACCTCGTCATCTGCAGAGAGAAACTGCCACTCAATTACACCAAAATACACATAATGATGGACTTACAGGCATCATAGAGGATTGTGAAAATACAGTATTTCACTGGAACTTGGTCTTCATTACACTATTTTCTGTTTCTATTTTTGTTTTACTTCTTTAAGTATTTATTTATGTTCTGTGACAACTGTCATTTATAAATGCATTCTGCTAATAATAGTTGTTAGATCACTGTCATTTGTTTTTGCTAATTTCACATGTCATTAAATAAAATAAAAGTACCTAATTGACACAACATGCTGTTGTTGTTTTTATGAAAACCTTGATAGACAGATATTATAAGACCAGGCAGATAGAGGGGTAAAAAAACAATAGTAATAAATAATTTATTCAAATAATATTAATAAAACTGATATTAATTACATAAATATACTAATATTAATGACAATAAACTATAATTAAAAAGATTATTCATAGCACCTTTAAGGTTCTACATAGCACTTTCAAAGCATGGTTCTTTATGGAACCCTATAAAAAGGGTTCTGTTGACGCTCCTTTGTAGAATCCGCCGGCCGCACCGTTCTCAAGCCCGCCCACCGCCGCTGACTCAAGCCGGCCTCCGCTCACTCTAGCCCGCCGTGTGTTTCGGTGTGAAAGTGAAACTACTTTGTTTGGCCTTCCAAAAGTGGACACGACTAGAAATCAGTGGTTAAGTTGTATTTACAACACTGTTCCAGAACAGTTTAACCCAAATATTTATGGAGCGCATTTTATGGAGGACTGTTTCCTGATAGAGTAGACTACAATGCCAGCAGTTCTGACTCACAGACTGTAAGTATGTTTTTTATATTTAAAGAATTTGCCACTGATGATTCAAACGTGAGTTTTGAGCAGTGTAGAGTAGCACTTGTTGTTTGTCATTTCTCCGATCACAAATGCAGACATGGTTTTATGTTTGGGGCATAGAGGAGAAACAATAATGCACAGTATGTGGAAAATAATAAACCTTAAACCTTAAACTGCATAAACACATTTCATTACACCAAATACACAAAATAATGTTCTTTTTAGCAACATCATATGACCCCTTTAAGAGTGTACAAAGCATTCAGTGTTTAGCCGCAGGAGGTTTTAACTGTCCTTTTTTTGTTTTTCTGAGCTGATAGATAGATACATTCAGCCTGAGGGTTGAAACAACTGATTCCTTTTCTCTCCATTCACTCTCCACTTCACTTTTTCCAACACTCTCCACTTATTTACTAGTTCTCTGCATTTGTCACAAATTATATATTTCAAAGTTATGATGATGAAAAAAGTTTACCTAAAATGGTAACATCTGAATTAACTGGTTTAATTAAACTGGGTTAAAAAAGGTAGAAATAGCTCTTTAAGGTAACAATCGCAAGTTTCCACTTTTTATGTCAATATATTATATGACAATGTAAGCATATGATGTCGCACATATATTAAGTATGGACTACAACACAATCATATGAACTATCATCAATATCCTGCAGCAGAAAAAAAAAGAATTAAAAGCTTACAGGTATGGAATGAAATAAGAGTGGAT